GATGTAACCGATGTGATTCAGCAATCTGTATACGGGGTAATCATGGAAGTTCATAACCATTCTGAATCAAATTGTGAAACATGATATATTAAGAAAGATGTAATGTTTTGAAAGACCAACAATAAAAAAATTAAGAAAAAAAAAATATCTACTCTGAAATTTTTGCTCTTGCAAATTAATTTTGAGCATGATAAGGTAGTGAATGTTCTCCAATTGCTGTCTTCTATACCCTTCTCCTCCTGAGATGAAAACTCCCCTGATAAATAATCAGACTTGAGACCAGTATGTTGTACCAGGGTTCACACATAGGTTTCCACATGTGGAATTGAGCACCATATTTAAGATTTTGTTTCTTGTATCACTTTATCAAAGGAACAAATATTTCTTGGAGAAAACCATCCTGAAACCAGTCTTACATAGTGATATAAAACAAAACAAAACTATAGTGGTTCTCAACCTAAGGCAGGGTAAATTTAACCTGTCACCTGCTTTTGTTTGTTTGTTTGTTGTTTAAGTTTTACTGAAGCATAGCTATGTTCATTCATTTATGCATTGTCTATTTCATACTACAATGGCAGAGTTGAGTAATTAGACAGAGACTATATGCCACCTCCCATACCCCATAGACTGAAATGTTGAATGACTGACCCTTTATAGAAATATGTGTCAATTCCTTACCTGCAGTAATCATCAGATCATCTAAAGATTTCTGGATCCCACCCTTTTACCAAATCAGAATGTCTGATGATATACTGAGCTATATCTCATTGGTAGGATGTTTACAGGTTTGACACTATTTTTCTAGCTTCTATGCACAGCTAGATTAAGGAAGACATATTGCTGAATTGACATCTCCCACTTTATCCCAAATATAAGGAGGCACAGTTCTTCCCGTTGGGTATGAATTAAAGATTCATGTTAATTCAAACATGATTTTCCAGATATATAATAGATAAATCTTACTTATAACATCAACATTAACAAAACTTTACAACATGGTATTTTTAGCCCAATTCTCAAGGCCTTTGCTTAAGAGTTGTTAGTATTCCTATTCATGAGGTCTCTATCATGTTTTTGTTCTTTCTTTCTGTTAATGTCAATCTATTGAGTAAATATTATTGAGTTTAGCTTTTATATTTTGTTGAAAATCACATTTTATTTCCATAAGATTTATTTATAAAGAAATAGAGCAATACTAGACGACCTTTATCTGACTGTGTAAATGGAGTAGATTAGAGGTAATGGGTATTTAGATACATGATACTTTGTTATGAAATAGCATAATTTGTCACATTCTAGAGTGACACTTTTATGTCTTTGGCTTCTTAAACTGATGTAATAGCAGCCAACTTTTCCCCTACTTTCAATTAAAGGTTTTACTAGAGAATATCAGTCTAAATTTTTTAAAGTAAAGTTCATTTTTAAAATGCTTTAAAAAACAATCAGTGTCAAATGTCTGCAGTTAGTGACTTACCCTCCCAAATTCATGTTTGGTAATCTTACAAACAATAAAAAAGAAGTGAAAATTCAGTTTGCCACATGTTTTAAATATAAAAATGAACTTCCTATTCAATCTAAGCAAGTTCATTTTCATATATGTACAGGCAAAATTAATATAAATTGCTTTCAAGATTATGCTAAATTAGGTGTTTGAATAAAATATTGCTATTAGGAGTCAGTAAAAAGTGCTTGTTTTCATGTCATTTATTAATTTCTTTTAGTTGAACCTGGCTTTCAATGACAAGAAGGAGAAAATTACAGAAAAAGTTATCCTTTCAATGACAGCAAAGGAGCACCATAAAGCAGAAGAAGAAGTAAGGGAGTTATTTTGTAACTATATTTAAACAACAATAATTTAATTTTAAAATTAAGATAAATTTTACTTTGAGTATTAATCAATTATTGTTAATTGACAGTAACATATGATAGAAAAAAACCCTTAAATTTATTTTACTGGTATGGACAGTCTGAAAAATAATTATGTGCTTGAAACAATGAATCAAATTAGGATTTTCTGAAAAATGTCTTATGACTATTTTCTCATAAATTTCCTCGATTAGTAAATTATTACATGTAACTTGAAATTGAAAATTGTAAAACATGCCAACACAGGGAAAACATAAATTGCTTTTTAATTTTAATAAATCTAAATCTGTGGGGGTTTTGTCATCTAAAAATAGAATTATTTTTCTGAATTTTAGGTATTCTAACAAAGTTATCTTTACCAAGGGAAAACTGTAGTTTACAATGTCAATGGTAAGGAAGCTAATCATAAGCTTCTGTAGGCAATATTGTAATGAAGAACTATTAAATCAAACCTTCTCTCCAAAGCTCATGCTGTGACATTGACAGCATATTCCATAAATGAAAGAATAATACAAAATAAGTATAAGACAAAAGGGGAAAATTGTCTTCAAGTAGTTTTCTAGAATGAAAAAGCATTTAATCTTTCCGAGGAATAAACACAAATTTCCTAATTTCCACATACTAATGTCAGTAAATAAACTCATTAAGCAACTTAAGGAACATGATAATGTGAAAATTACAAAATAAGCTTCTCATGCAATTTTATTTTGACATTTGGGCAAATAAGTCTATCCAAGCTTTAGGATTTTAATAGTTTGTCGTCAATGTGATTGCATCTTCTTCATTAACTGTATATTTCATAACAAATGAACACATACAATGCACCAAATTGTTCTGTGTAAATTCAATCTTTACACAAAACTATATTAATATTTGGGACATATATGTCTGGTATTAAATATGATAGTGTAATCATTGATTGGCATTGTCAATAGAGAATATTTCATATGAAAAATTAAACTTGAATCATTTCTAAAATCTAATAAATAATAGTTACATAGATTTAAGTTATGGTTCTGTCTCATTCTACCTAATATTAACAAGTTATAAGACTAAGTTACTAGTTATAAATTTTAAAAATATCATTCTCTATGTGTTTGAAAAAGATGTTAACCAGAGCTAGAGTTTTACTCCATTTTACAGTAAGTTTCAAATAAATATGCCGTGTATCATAAATTTTGAGAAGTGCAAATGTCTTTCTAGATTCATCAGTATAATTAAAATTATCTTTAACAAAACCAGTTAATATTAGAGATTAAATAGAAAATTATCAAAAAGAATAACAGATTAAATATTTTTCTCCTTTAAAACTTTATAATTATTTTGCTCTTTGATATTTATGCAAAATCACAATTTCATCAAAATTAAAAAGTTTAGTGGGTCAGGAAAATAATAATTATGTTAAATATATAATTTTTAATGCCACCTTGTTAGCAACATTAGAAATAAAAATTGTCTCATCCTCCAAATATAATAATATCTATACTTCTTTGGTATTTCTTCTTTATCATCATTATCTGTTTGTTTATTTAACTCTTCTGAGTTCTTTGTGTACAGTTCTTTATGTGGCTCAAAATTTCTTTTTTTTTCTTCAAAAATTAAATATCTACAAAAGGAGTGAGTGTGCATGTGCGTGTATGTATAATAATCTCTAAATATATTTGGCAATCTATGAAAATAGTTTATTTTTAAAAATGGCAGTGCCCCCAAAGAGGCTATGAGAATAATTTCTAAGAGATTACTTGGAAAACATCTATATTGATTTGGATGCATAAGTTCTAGTGTTTTGGTTTAGAAAAAGTCTGTGACATCAAGTTTTAGCTCTAATTCACATACAAAAAAAAGTCAAATCCTGATGGAAAGAAAAATGAGAAATTTGAGGGAAATTATGTTTTTACATAAATATAATATTCTGCACATATCTCAAACCAAATTAAACATCATATACATATAGATTTAGTTCCTTTTCTGCTGCCTATAATTTTATCTTAAAATTTTGTTTTATTTCATAAAATTTTCCACATAAAACTGGGAGTAATAATGTATACATCATACAGCCACTTTGAGATGATGATACATGTTTTTGGAAATTTGTATGTAATATATTATTGCCCTTTTAAAATTGTGCTATTTTAAATTCTCTGAAAAAAAGAAACCAAGGTGGAATTAAATGTCTGAGGATTTTATTAGAAGAAATGCCTATGAGAGTGCATGATAAGGTTGAGAGATCTGTGAGACAAAAATGCAGACCTAACCCCAAGTAAGATTGGGTGGAAGCATCCTAGACCATTGTGTAGTCAAGAAAGGTTTGGCAAAGCTGTTGGTATAGCCTTGAGCCAAAGTTGGCCATTAGAGGAATTCTGTAACTCTCAAGGACACATCTGACTTAGTATTCCCATTGGTGCCAACCTGGTGATGGATCTCCAAGCAGAGTAGTTGGGACTCTTGGTCTATTGTACACCTGTAGTTAGAGGTCAGTAACGCAGGGTCACATGTCAAAAGGTACAGTTGACATTGTCCTTGTTGCCCTCACCATATCCGTATTGCTAGGTAAGTTATGAAGACACTTAAAATGTCTCTATTTTTAATAGTCCCTCCCTTCATCTGTGAGGGGAATGAGAATGGGGTTGTTGAGTAGGTCTAAAAACAGCACGTAAAGGACCTCTGCCTGCAAACAGGTTAAATCTGTGTTGGAAAGCTTCAAGGAAACTATTAAAAGTTGGCAGTAGTTAAAGTGCTAGGAATAAGAGGTGCCACACACTTTGGGGTCCCTGATAGTTATGCTGCACCGCAGCTTCCAAATGAAGAGATACTTTGCTCACAGGCTCTCAGTCTTTGTTTAACAATTCTGGATTATGTTTACTTTTAACCTAAAAACAAAACAAAACAAAACAAAACAAACACCCCACCCCACCCCCCAAAAAATAAAAAGTTAAAAAACTGTGTTCTTGGGCCTGAGACAAAGAAGAGATTTAGGAAGCTTTAAAATTCCATTTTAATTTCTCTACCTACTCCCTTTGACTCATCTTAAATATGTTGTTAATTAAAAAGTTTCTTGGTCGTAAATTCAAGTGCTGATCTGACTTTGAGATCATCCTGTATGTTATATGCCACGATGATGTTCCTAGCATAGAGTCTGCCACCCTTTGTGATGATTTCAAGTGACATTTCTGTGCAAAGTGCTCTGGAATTCTCTTTAATAATATGGGTGGATTCAAAACCACAGAGAATTCAGGCTGACAGCTGAACCCATCACTGAAAAAGCTAGAAGATCCTCAAAGCATCATTAATAATAGCCAATATACAGGATTCACATTTATGGCTCAGACATGCACAAACCTCATTAAGTATACTCTTTAGAATGATTATAAGCTGAATAATATTTTGTGTTGACTATAAATCATCTTGAAAATTTAACTGAATTCAAGAGTTGCATGCATGTGTCATATAAATATGGTCAAACTTCCCTATGTGTTAGGTAAAAACCTATGTGTATGTCTATAAACATGTGCACATTTGCATTCTGTCAGAAGTTTGGCTTCTTTCCTCACCAGAATATTCATTTTTTTTCTACCTTCTGCTCATTTGTCACTCTCCCAAATTCTGTACAAGTGTCACTTCCGCGCTGCATTTCCATGGAGAATGAGTAGGCTTTCTGTTGCACAATGAGATGGTGCATTTTTTCAGCATATGCATACGTAAGCCTTCTTTTGTGAATGGGACTGATAGGGTCAGATAATGTTTAAAGGGAAAGGCTTTATGTCTCTCAGGCTTCTATGTTTCCACATGGATGCTCCCACACACACATAGATTGAATTATGAACAGACCCATTAATGCTGGGATCACAAAAGGTCAAGTTTTGTCTTCTTTTACCTCTATTCACGTTGCCTTTGTGAGGAAAAAAAAAGGATTTGCAGGAAAAAAAAAGATTTATGATAAAGAATTTTAAAGAACATTTTTCTCTTTTAGCAACATCTGTGATTTGAAAAAAAAATCATATTATGTGAAATAAATCAGGAATATTGTCATTACCTACCTGATTTTAGTATATGATTTATTTCATGAGTAGGATTGTCTTAAGGGTGATATGTTACCATAATAACTGAGAATAAAACATAACACTTAGAGGATAAAAGGCTTTATGAATATGTAAAGCAACAAAATTTGAGTAAAATTGAAGGGAAACATTATCAAAACGTCATTGGTAGTATTCTTGATACATTTTCCCCTATGTTTAAGTTATCTTTGCTAGGACATTCAATTTGATAATTTTCAATTTAAAGAAACAAGTGATAACTTATTTAATTATGGTTCATGTAATCTGGGGGCCAAGGAAAAGAGCAAAAATGATAGAAATATTCTTGAAGCAAGACAGAATTTAACCAGATGAAAATTTAAATCTTTAACCAGTAGCCCTTTAGCGTGCAAATGACATCATGACATCATCAATTGTATGGTTGGTTGATTTCTGATGTCACATGAAATCCCCTATCAGTTAAAGTGTATGGATTGTGACAGTAAAACCAGTCATGTATAAAAATGCTCTCAAATCAAAGTCTGAAATTCTTCCTTTTTGTGTGTGTGGCTTAATATAGTACAAGGTAAAGTACATAAAATCAGAGAGCATTATTGACTATCAGAATACATTGCATGATACTTGGTAGACTTTAAAGGCTGCATAAAATTACATCTTCCTGAATTGCATGATGCTGGAAATGAATTCAAAGAGAACCAAGGCTTTCCACAAAAGGAATCCTCCCATTTAAGTCTTTTGCTTCTTGAGTTTTAATATCATCAAATAACCATAACAGCAAGCCACCTGGCCTGTTGGTGTTTTGCTTTGATATATAACATACTGTTATCTATCATTTGAGGACAGTTGCTGCTATAGGATAGTGTGATCTGAAGGGGAAGATGAGGCTGAAAGCACTGACAAATATTTAATCATCTATCATTTTCATTTTTAAATCTTACAACATTTTATAGAGTTAACAGTACTATGGAAAGTGTATAAATTCATTCCTTCCTTTGGAAAATCAAAGAACATCATGAAAGAAATCTGCCATTGAATTTTATAGTCTATGAATAATATTGTCTTTTTGTTTTCCCACAGCTTTCTTTAATTTAATAGATCTTCTGTTTGGATCTGCTGCTTCTATTCCATTTTAATTATAAGTGCATACTTATTATTTCAGAATAATGGGTTTCATTGTGACAATATTATACATGTATATAATATATGAATAATATTGTCTCTTTTAACATTTTTTCTTCTCTTTCTTCCCTGCTCATTTCCTCCATCTCCATCTCCTTTTAATTTCTCTCCTTGTCTTCTTTCTTTTTCATATTATTTTTCTTTCTATGTCTCTTATGACCCTCCATACACACATATCATATACTTTCTACTACCTTACATGCCCATGATTTCCAAAGTTGTGTTCCAAGTTAACTGATTGACCAAGAAGGAAGGGCTTCTGTATGAATGACTAATAGAAATTGCTGTACACATTCTATGTACCCTTAAGGGCTGCCTATTAGTATCCTATTAGATGAGTTATATAGGGTTGCAAAGACTTAGCAGAAATCAGTGTATCAATCAGGTTTTGCTAGATTATGCTGAATTGGTTAACAAGCCCCAAATCTTAGTTACTTAAAACAAAATATTATGTTGGCTACAGGTTGTTTGTCTCTCTCCTGAATGTCTTTTTCAATATGGGATAGAGGTTGAAAGAACAGTTTCTATTGGGACATTGCTGTTTTCATGGCAGAGCAAAAGAGCAATGCTAGAACTGATAACTTGTAAAGCTTCTGTTGAGAAGTGGTATATGTTCATTTTGCTCACGTTTCATTGGCCAAAGCAAATCACTTTGGGTCACTGCTGTCAGTTATATGTCTGTTAACTTTTCTGGACCTGATTTTCTTTGTTTATTAGATAAGAGTGTTGATCATAATAGATAAATAAATATTTTCTAATTTATTATGACACTTGAGAAATAGAAGGAATCTGTATATGTGTGTGTGGTGGGGGATGGGAACAGTGAGAAGGGACATCTTGTTAGAGAGGAATGGTCTAGTGGGAATATGAGCCATAAAGCCAGGTAGGGATCAGATTTTAAAAGGTCTTGAATCTTGAATATCAAGCTATAAAATCTCAGAGAGTCACTAGAGGGTTTCATTTACTGTTCAGTTTGGATTAATTCTGTGAAGGTGGCAGGATGGATGACAGGGGAGAGTCTAGGGACTGGGAATCCAGTCACTAGGTATTTTGGTAATCCACATTGGGATAGGGATGAGGAAATAAATGATGACTTGGACCAAAGTATTACTTATAAAAAAGGAAAGGAACGATAGAAAATTTATATTTAGATGAGGGCCAAATTCAGTCCGTTGTTTATTTGTATAAATAAAGTTTTATTTGATCACATTCATGCCCATTCATTTGCATATGATCTGTGACTGCCTTACAACTACAACTGTGGGGTTAAATTCTTTGACAGAAACATTATGACCCATAAGGCCAAAAATATTTACAAACTAGCCTATTATTTAAAATATCTGCCAACCCTTTGTTTAGAAGAAAGGATTGTTTAAAGGAAGGTAGAAGATTAATCACATAGGAACAAACAAGAGTTACGGGAGACCAAAGATAAATAGGAATTATATTGAAGTAAGTTGTTTACATGCATCTGATACTTGTAAAGTTCTTGATAAAAGTCAAATGAAGCTGGGTGTGGTGGCACATGACTCTAATCCCAGCGGCTTAGAAGGCTGAGGCAGGAGAATCTCGAGTTTAAAGCCAGCCTCAGTAACTAGTTAGGCACTAACCAACTTAGTGAGACCTGTCCCTAAATAAAATACAAAATTGGCCTGAGGATGTGACTCAGTGGTCGAGTGCCCCTGAGCTCAATCCCCGATACAAAAAAAAAAAAAACTCAAATGTAATCAAAGTTTTACATGTATAAAAACTTCAACTATGTTTAGCTTTTACCAAATATATGTGTGCACACACATCATTAGGGTAAAGTGAAAAATAAATATTTAAGCCACAGAATTAAGAATATAAGCTTGTTCTTTAGCAAATTTCAGCAAATTCAAATACCATATTTTTAGCTGAGAGAGAAAGAAGGAGGATTAGGTGTCAGGACATGAAAGAATCTTAGAGGAGTTTTCATTTTGTTTGTGGATGTTGAAATGAGGTATAAAATCTATACAGCAGATAGTTGAGAATTTATATCTGCCTCATATGAAATAAAGGTAAGAATAGGAATGATGGACCAAGAAAAATATAATTAAAACTCGATATGCAGAAAACACAGATTTAAAAAACAAAACACTATAATAATATACCGATGCACTGGGCACCTACCTGCTTTAGGCTATACATCATGCTGTCTATTCTTTTATCGAATTAATTCTCAGTATGTTAGACCAATATTATTCTTCATTTATTTATGCATGAGGGTTTTATTCCTTGTTCAAAGTCTCCTAGTCAGTATGTGGGAGAGCCAGAATTTTAATGCAAGCTTTCAAAGTTGATCACTTTTAAAGAATTGCTGATAAAGTGGATTTCTGTTCTTCATCTCTTTTGATTATGACCATGTATTGACCAATAAAAATCGAGTCAATTACTCATTATCCTATGTCATTTAGTATTCTTTTATTAATGATTTGGGGACATTAAATGATTTTATGCCATACAGCTGAATATGTAACATGAATTTCCTTTAATAATAAAGCCTGTGAAGCAATAAAAAAGAACTCAGTCTTTAGAATTATATAGAATATAAGTTTATATAAACAATGAAAGTCAAAGAAATGGCAGTGATTTTTAATTTGTAAACTATAAAACAGTAGTTTGCTGACTCCTCACCATGTTTTATTAATAATCCATAAGTAAATTTCATATGCCCATCCTAAAATACACTGATTAGAAGTCCAATTTTTTTTTAAATTCCAGGTATGTATTCATAAGTCTATTTTGTTTCTGGAAAAATTCTATGCTTTATTTTGTCATTGATATATATATATTTAAAGTGGTGTCTAGAACAGAGCATTGTCTTTAAAGTATGGATATTTTGAAAAATTATATTTATGAAATTTGGAAAAATTGTATTCTAGAATATTTGGAAGAAGATAACATTTATTTATTTATTATTTTCGGGGGGTACTGGGGATTGAACTCAGGGGCACTTGACCACTGAGACATATCCTCAGCCCTATTTTGTATTTTATTTAGAGACAGGGTCTCACTGAATTGTTTGTGCCTCACTTTTGCTGAGGCTGGCTTTGAACTCTCCATGCTCCTGCCTCAGCTTCCCAGGTTGTTGGGATTACTAGTGAGGGCCAGAGCGCCCTTATTTATTTTAAAGGTCAAAAAAATCTTAGTGAATTTAATATATGTATTAAAAATTTTAATGTAACTTGTTGAAATAAAATATTCTAAAAAGGTACATATAGGAAAACAAAATGTGATAGTAGTTTATGTACATTGGATTCAAGTCCTAGGAAGTTTTTATTGTAATAAGCAGTTTAAGTCCTTTGTAAACTTGTCAGATGTGTATGTTCCTTTTTATACTCAGAGATATTTTTCATTTAGTAATTGTCAATGGTCACCTATTCCATATTACTGAAGTAAAAAGGTTAGACATTTTTCATAAATGAAATTTGTTGATGAAGGAATGTATGATATATATCTCTAATCTTTACTCAAGGCTATATCTGTACTCAAATTCTTGTATTGAAGTCATTTTCCCCCATCATGCTGGATACTCAAAAATCTAATAGGTGTGACATCAACAATTACTTCTTGCTAACAACTCTTGTAATTTAACCCCTTCAGGTAAGCAGGCTGATTGATGAATTGCAGACAGCTATCAAAAGCAACAGAGGTCATCTCTCTAAACTTGGCCCCCAATTACAGGCTGAGCAGGAGCAATTCTCCTCTTATGTCTACCAACACATTAAAAGCCTTCCAGCAAACACTCTAGTCCCAGGAGGCCTGCAGCTCAAGGTGGGTGTTATTCTATGACTCTCATTGGATTCAGGCGGAGACAAAAACTCTCTTCTGCATTTGAAGACCCTTGTAACATTGCCACTCAGCTAGAATTTCCTTTTATCTTGTTGTCCTCTACACTGGAGGTAATATTACAATATTACAATGGTAATATTGCTATTCAGGAAATAGGTTTTAAAAGTAAATACCTACTAAACTTTGAAATATGGATTTATAAACAAGTTTTCAAACCAATAATTTTAATTAAGAAATTTAATCAGCTGAACATTTATATGCTTTTCCAAGAAACATATTTTTCATAGGAGTCACTATGTATTTCAGTTTCTAAAAATAACATTTGTAGAAATGGCCAGGCTTTAATAGTTGACAGACAGTGGCAACAGGAATTGGAGGTGAAAGGCCAGGTGACTGATTGATGTTCAAACTACATTTCCAAGGAAAAGGATCTGTATTGGATAAGTGTGACACATGTCTGAGTTCACTTGGTAAAATCAATACTTAAGAATATACTGGGAAAAAAGGTGAATTGGTTATTTGTCAGGACAAGATGGCTAAATGTCCTAGACTACTCTTCTATTGCAGTTTTAGAGTGGAAAAAGAACAATATACTTGGTTGAAGTGATTTAGGTGCTTAAAGCTTAGGGAATGTTAACACTTTTTTTTGCATTATAGAATATACTTGCTATGTTAACTCTGTCAAGTTAATGTAGTTCTATAACTTTACACCTTATATTTTAAAAGCATATAATTATTAAAATTTGAATTACTGAAAGTATGACCCTTTTCCATCTAAAGCGTAGCATTATTGCAACTCTTCATTTCCTTTTGATTATTTTTAGAGGTACGCAATAATTTTCAAGGTTAATTATAATTTTATTATCCTTTATTTCTATAATTCCTCTTATTATCCAGTTTTATTCTATAAATAACATTATAAACTTCATGTTTTCTGCTCTTAATTTTTTTCTTAGGATGATATTTCCATGTGTGCAGTTTGAATGAGAATGTTACCATTAAAAATTGACTTTTGGGGAAATAAAATTCAACATTAAACATGATAATTTATTTCTCACAGTTCAGTCTGTGCTAGGCAGGTAAGGGATTAGGAAGTGTTGCTCAAGACATAGAGGTTAGGTTGGGCATGGTGGTGCACACTTGTTATCCCAGCAAGTGGATTACTTAAGATCATGGGAAACTGAGGCAGGAGAATCACAAGTTCAAAGCCAGCCTCAACAATTTAGCAAGGCCCTAAGCAACTTAGCAAGACCCTGTCTCAAAATTAAAATAAATCAAAAGGGCTAAGGATGTGGCTCAATGGTTAAGCACTCCCGAGTTCAATCCCCATACTAAAAAAGAAAAAAAGACGTCTAGGTCAAGGATTCTTATAGTTCAGTAACATCGTTCTTTTCAAGTTTTTGACCTGATAGCCCCATCCTGCCATTTTGCAAATGTTCTGAGAAAAACTAGGTGATAGAGTGCAGTTGTTTTAATGCCATTCATTCCCACCCATTTGTATCAGCAACTATCATATTAACTATAGTATGACCTGGAAAATTCTTTTTTCCCCCACTCACAAATTCACTGATTATTTCTAAAGAATTTCTATCACTTATTCACATTAGCACATTAGCCTGATAGCAAATATTTCAGTTTAGAATCTGAATTGTTACTTTCATGTGTTCCTCTATTAGAAGGCTTCAAAATTGTTTTTTTATATCAGCAAATAAATAGAAAGTTTATACTTGCAAAGGAGTCATGTTGTAATTGCATGTACCTACCCCACTATCTAATACAAAAGTCACTAGGTATATGTGGCTATTTAAATAAAAATTGGTTAAAATCCAAGGCTTCTAGTGCTTTGTCCGACACTTCTCTGGTTTTAGCACTGAAAATTTTGCATCTGGCACCCTGAAATGGTTCATTATGCTAGTCTTATCTCCAGAATTCCCTCTCTTCAGTCTCAGGAATTCTCCTGCTTTATGATTATTGCCCAATAAGGTAATCAGCAACGTTAGCTTCTGCCTTCTCTATCCTTGCTACCTTTTGAAACATCCAGTTTCTGTAAGAGAATAAATTTCTCTTTCAACTCCCAAACTGGACATCAGCCCCACTCTCAGGCCTTAGAGCAATGGTTTTCATTCCTGGATGCATATTTGAATCATCTGGAGACCTTTTAGAAAATACCAATGTCTCTGCTGGTCATGGTAGCACACATCTGTAATCCCAGTGACTCCAGGAGGATCACAAGTTTGAGGCCAGCCTTAGCAACTTAGTGAGACTTTGTTTCAAAATAAAAATTTATAATGGCTGGGGATGTAACTCAGTGGTAGAGTGTCACTGGGTTCAATCCCTAGTACCAATAAACAAAAAAGCAAAAGCACCAATGTCCTGAATCCTAGAGATTTGGAGTTAATTGGTTTCGTGTGCTAAGATTGACTTCCCCTGGCTTGCGAACACTGATTGTTAAATTCTGAGATGTTATGAGCCAGTTGTTAAATATAGCCATTATTAAAATCTTGTATAAACTTAAAAATAAAGGTAATAAATACCTTTCACTTTCCAATCATTTTATTACATTTTACCATTACCTACCTATTCTTTTGAAGTTATTAATGTTTATTATGTTTGTTTAGTGAAAACAGTATATAACAAAGTGATACTGTGCATTTCTTTCCAAATTTATTTTCAGGGCTGACTTGTAACTTGAAATTGGCCACAATAAGAATATCTATATAACAGAAATTGGCAAATGATAAAAAAAGGGCTTGCTTTAAAGTTTTGTTGATTGTCTAGGCCAAGCCATGGACCTAAGATGCCTGTTTTTTTTTTTTTAATAAGTTTTTACTGGAACACAGCCATGCCCACTGATTTGTGCTTTGTCTATGGCTGCTTTCACAGAACAATAGCAGAGTTGAGTGGTTAGGCAGAGACCATCTAACTTGAAAACACTAAAATATTTACTACTTGATCCTTTACAGAAAAATTTTACCTCTGGTTTAGATGTAGTTATATGATAGAAAAAGTTTATAATGCAATTTCTTAATTTAAAAGTGAAAATTTTTTGTATCTGTTACATTGTTAATAGCACAAAAAATCGCAGTAATCTTCCAGCATATAAAAACTATTATCTGAATAGAAATAGAAAAAATACTGCTTAAATAATTAATTAAAAAAGAAAGTCCTACATACATCTTTCTTGTTTTAGTTCTGTCTTATTAACATGGATGAAAATATCAATCAACATTCAGATCAGAACTGCACTTGTTTCTCAATTTCAACCATAGTTTGGCTGTGTACACAGACTTGGCAAAAATCAATGAAAGCATTCTGTGAGAATCTGTTAGCTATGTGGAATTTACAATAAGAGTATTATGTGTTGTGTTATTATTTGCAATTTATGTGTTATATGTTTTTATATAAACATATAACCTCCATTCCTAAGCAGGTTGTTAAGCACTCACTGGAACATCTTCAGGTGTGGTCCAGGCATCAGTATTTTTTGAAAGCTTCCATATGATACTATTTTCAGGCAGAGTTGAGTATCATAGTGAGATTTTTATAGCAATGCTAAAAAAAGCTAACAGAACCCTGCAAAGAAATTCTCATTTAAGGTTACTAATCAATTAAAACTTTTCTCTATATTTTTACATTGGTAAAGTAGGAAAGGCTAGCAATGAAATCCTTTAACCTCAAATTATGGAAAGGGAAAATTCCCTCTTTTCAACAATAGCTACAAAGGGAGCAATTTTATATTTAAAATTTCTCTTCAAGATATATTTTCATAGGGAAAATTAGAGAAGAAAGAAAAAGAAAAGATTTCTAGTGGTTGGAATGGCTAATCTTGAATAGGTATAATAAATGAAGTCAGCTAGTCTAATGTGCCTAGATCCACAGCTAATTAAAAGTCCTTCTGATGCTTAGATAAGTATGTAAGCTAAAATATGGCTGATTAAAAATATTTGCTACTTTCAAATATTTGAGACAATAGTATCTGAAGATAAAGTAAGTAGGGAATACAGCCAAGTTAAGAGCAAATAAAGAAATATATTTGTGAGGTACAGGAACACCTGTGTCTTTGTGTGAACTGTAATTTCTTTAAATCTTCACATCATAGTTTTCTTGTTTTTTTAAGAAATTTTGTGATAGTCAATAATATTTTTTATTTTTCTAAAAATGAAACTTTCTGGCTTATGACTATTTTTTCACTTAAGAAAATTATTAGATAAAAGAAGACTTAATCACTGGTCTTCACTTATAATTGCTCAATATCACTCCCTACTGGTGACCACCCTGAATTGTGGTAATAAGTCCCAGGCATAGAAAGAGATACTTGGCATTTTCAGAGATCCATTCCAAAGATTTCTGCAAACAGTATTGCTTTGGATCAGAGACCTACATTTTCCTTCCTCTGTCAGAAATGGGGTAGGCATGGGATAAGGGAAATTTTCAATTTATCTTTCCCCTGTTGTGCTTCCCCTTTTTCCAGTCAACTCTAATAATATTAATACCAGGTTTACTTGCACTATAAACTTTCTTGAACTAACTTAAATAAAAACAATTTTTTGAAAACCTAAGGGAATCTTACAGAGAAGCAAACCAAGAAATAAAGCAAGTCTCACATGAAAGTCACCACTTTTCCATATTTTTTCTCTTAAAGCCCTGTGATCTTTCATCTTTACTTTTCTCTGTGAGGTTTTATTACTTTTTTCTTTTTTCAATTCTGCCTCTTTCTGCAAGCTAGGTATCTTTTTACCTCTTCAAAAGTACATAGAGGGAAAATTATGGCCTTGGCCTTGGTCTTTAGTTTTAAATGATCATCATTATCTGAATAGAGCTGTATCTCTTGGTTCAAACCATTTAAGGAGTGGATCTACTTGAGTCAGTCTGGTCTTGATTAAGTACTCAACACAAATTCAGCTACCTGTGTCCAGTTACTGGGGATAGTTTAAAGTCATTTGCTATATAAGACTGCCCTTCAGAGAAGTTAGTTTAAGGAG